TTTAGTGAATAGTGAAAAGTGTCACGAGGAATTTCATTACTGGCTGGAGTGGTTTAGAAAGCTTGCTGCTGCTTTAAGAAGCCAGATTTACATATTTCATGTTTAAAAGATTTACAATATGTCTCACATGCCTGTATAGAAAGATGGAGCTTTCATTATAGGTTTAATGTCACCACGATACAAGGATTAATACTCTTTCCTCCGCCTCGGTCTGCGCGGCTGGTCACAAGTGCCTGGTGTGTTCCTGGTTGACTACGCTGTAGGGGTGTTTTCATATTCAAGGAGATGCATTATTGAATAATTAAAGCAAGCTTTTCCATCACTCCGTGGAGAAATCCACAGACAACAATCCTAGAGGAAGATCGAGGACTGGGGCATCTTTCCAGGCTTCTGGTTATTTTCTGTCAGGCACTGGGGAAGGAGGGAGAGGATTGTTGATTTTCATTGCAAAGGTTAAATGCTTTGTATTGAAAAGCTGAACTGGAGGAAGGCTCGAAGGGCCAAATTCTGCCCTCGGTAGCCGTGTTGCAGGCTCAGCACGGTTGCCGTTGCAGGCTGTTCCATGCTTTAATAGACAGGGATATTTCACCCTTAGGAAGTGTCTCCTCACCGGTGTGTGATGCAGAACATGAGCTAATGGAAGATGCAGCTCAAGTGCTACATGATAATTGGGCACTTGGGGATGTGCCGTCACATGTTGGGCAAATGTTTTCTGCAAGGTCCTGCTGTAGCACAGGTGGGAATTTCTAATGGTCCGTTGAACGCTGCGCACATGTTTCCTCTGTGCTGAGACATGGTTATTTCTCAGCTGGTTTCACAGAGCGATTGGTGTGGCTGGGGGCAGGATCTGCTTCACAGTGATACGAGCGGCATCCCTGGATGCTGGAGGATGGGGGGTTAAATAAGGAGGGGGCTGTCAGAACAAAAAGTGATTAACGACTGGCCAAAACTGGTTCTTCCTGAAGGTGTAAACCCTTCTGGTTTCATTTCAAGAATATTTTCCAGGTATGTGGAGTTCTTTGAATAAACAGACACAGCTTTTTTCACACTTTCCTTACCTGGGGCTGGGGGAACATGCTGTCAGCTCCAAGAAGGTGCAGGGCTCGGTCCTTTCCTGATTGTGTACGATGGCATTTTCTTCCTTTAGCTTTGCCTTTTGCCAGTCTGTTTTTTTTCTTCAGGTCTGTGATGAGATGTGAGGGGGAAAAAAAGAATTATAGGCTGTTTCTGAGATTTTTAAACTTCTTTGTTTTAAGATGACATGTGATTACTGGCTGGTAACTTGTATGAAGCTTCTCAGTCATCTAAGATTTGATTTTCGATGACTTGCTGTTATGTTTGTTTCTTAAGAAATAAAGTCTCCAGCACTACAATAAATGTTATCTGAAATTTAGCATTCTGAGGACACTGAAGTGATAATTTGTGTTAAATGTGTAGATGAATATAGATATGTATGCATGTGTGAGCAGTACACTCCCACGTATATTTGTACACACACAAGCTACAGATTCAAATATAACTTGAATTGACTTACGTAAGTAATTTTAAAAATTACTATGGAAAGAAAATATTAATCTTAAATATGTTTACATTGTTGTTACAGTTCTAGTTAAGAGGAAGCTGTGTTTTTCTGCAAATACTTGCTCTTAGAGCTTTTGTTGTCCAAAACTCAATTTTTTTTTTTCCCCTGGGGATGTTAAGTCCTTTCTTTCACCAAACCAGTGGAAAGTTCCATTAATGTAAGCAGGATCAGAGCTCACTGGGTATGCCTACTGCTGAATTAATAAATATCTGGGAAAATAAACAGTTATGATGCAAGTGGTAAAATTGCCTTATAGACCAGAAGATGAGATTTAGCACAAATAAAGTGTATGTTTGCCTCACGTCCCAGCAGCATTCAAACTCACTGTTTTGACTGCGTGATTTCATATCTGTGCTCACTGCAAGATGGAAAGGGTTTTCATTTCAATACTGAAGTCAATAACTATGGAGGTTATCATTTTCATGCTCAGAAATTCATGTCATTTTCATAAATCATTCATTTCATTTCATAAATCATGCTTTACAGCTGCAGAATGGAAACTTATTGCTGGACATTGATGAAAATCTTGTTTCAGTCACTCAGGTAAGGTTGTGACACTAAAAATGTTTTAAGGAAATATAGATGAAATCTTCTATAGGAATAGTGCATTTTGAAAATGTTCAGCTTGGGATTAACTTCACTGGAATGTAGTTAATATCAGATGTGAATAATTTAAAAAAGCATAATGGGTGAAATCAGTTCTGTAGTGACAGTGAAATCACAAAAATAAAAGATAACTCTTTGGTGTCCAGAATCTCATATGCTGCAAGTGGATAAAACTACGTCTATGTCAAAAAAGTTGCATTCGTTTATTCAGGCTGAGAATTGGGTTGTAGAAATAAGCTAGATACAGAATCCAGAGCTGAACCATTTGGGACTTTAAAATCCCACCTCCAAGGGTTGCTGTTTAAGACTGTCTCTAGTAAGTAAACGATAAAGTTGTGTTCCCACAAAGTTTCTATTTACATCCTCTGACATAGTTCTATAGCTCCTGTTGCATATAAGGTTGCTATTCTGTGAGAAATAATTCCCCAGTAAATATATTCCTTTTCTTTGGGGAATATTGTGAATGAACGTTTATTTCAACAAATAATGAAGTTGGCTTTCCTATCACTCTCTCCAGCTGCCTGTTTAGAAATCCATCCACAGAGTTTCTTTTAAGAGATTTAACAGAATTATATCTGTGAAGAGTTTCTAAAGATCCATCACCTTGAAGCACTCTGAAAAGTATTATTATTCCCATTTTACAGGGTTATTGAGGCATAGAGATCTGAGTTGCCACCTTTCAAATACATACCATATAATCCTGAGTTCAAAAGTATACTATCAATTTTCAGTATTGATATGAAACATATAATATTTTTTCCACAAAAAATGTGTAACTTTACAGACACTTCCTCTTAGTCTGTGTAACCACGTGTGCCCTGCCCTTTCACATCCCTTCTGGCTTGCTCTCCTGCTTTCTCACCTGGGATGGAAGCACTGGGGGAGCCTTTGCTCATGGCCTCCTTGAAAGGGCACATGCTATTTCTTAGCAAGCCAGAGAGGAGAAACCAGTGAAAAACTCACCAGTCATGCAGGGAAAGGGCAGATTTAGGGGTGGTGCTGAACAAGCAATTTGGAGAGATGAGAAGAAAGAGGCTCTTTCTGTAATTTAGTGTCACCTGGCATCTCTTGAGTCAGTGATTTCCAAATGAGAGCTGCTGTTGTCATTATTCCAACTTTTCTGGGCATTTTAACAATACTTGCCTAGTGTGTTTGCACACACTGCAGAAGTGACTTATGGGTTTGGGGTTTTTTTGCAGAAGCTACTTCTAGCAGTATTTGAGTAATGTACACTAGAATCAGTGTACCCTGAAGAAAACATGAATTTTCTTCTTACTTCCTTCTTCCATTTCCACGCAGATACTTAGAGGGATATATAAGCCCATAAGAAGAAAATGTATTGTCATAGCACTAAAGCAATGTGATCTGTTTAATATAAGACATGACGTGAGGAAATGTAAAATAATTCATCCCTAGGTGCATCATTAGACATAAAGCTGAGAATCATCCAAGCTGCTAGACAAATTCCAGGTCTAAGTGATTGTAGCATTGCTTTTGTATATAGGAATAGAGATTGGATTGCAAAAACATATAAACCTTTGAAATTATTGTATTTTGAATGATAGCCTTATTTCTTAAAGGATCATTTATAACAGAAGGTTGAGGGCAGGAAAAAATCTTAGGGTGATCTTGCTCCTAGGTAGGTTGTAAAGACTGACCAGCCATTGTGGTTAATGTCCAAAGCACTGAGTGTTGGCTACATTTGCAGGTCAAGACTCAACTGAATTTCAAGCCTATTTATGTGATAGGAGGCTACAATGTTTGTGTGCCTAAGCTGGGGAGGAGATTCAGTGAACTGAATTAAGATTTGCATTAAATCTCATTCATAATGAGAGTTGTAGCTTCCCACATGTGTGGGCGCGACTGAGTATGACACAGGGAAGAAGGAAAGTAGCTAAGCAGCAGAAAGGTAGTGGAGAAGGAGTAGTTCTTGAGTTCCCATTACAGCTTTCCAGAATAGCCACCCTGATAAGGATGGTAGATGGGTTTTAGGTTTCCTGCAGAGCTATAATGGATCCATGCTTTACCGTCCCTGGACTCCAGATGGACTGATTTGTGGATGTAGATGGGTGGAAGAGAGTCATTTTACTCCAGAACATGTGAAGGAGCTTTGATTATGCAGCCACTCAAGGTGCTCCTTATTATGAAAGTGCTTTTTCTCTTCTGGTCCAGTTGAGTAAGACCTGTATGGGTGACCTATTTTGAGATCAAACTGAAGGACGTCCGGAGAAAACATTTCTAGCATGAGTTAAATGTAGAGCTACAAACTTACAATAACCCAGTTGTGCATCCTCCTTCAAGTCCACTTATCCAGGTCACACCTGTCCCATGGGCAAGGGGAAATCAGGTAGCACTTTAAAAGCCCTTCCCTTCTGTATCCTAATGTCACTTCCACAGTTGTCTGCTGTGTTTTAAGACCTTGAAACGGGGTTTTAGAAAAGGAGCCAGGGAAAAGGGCTGGCCATAAATCATGCTTGGTGCTCACTGGTGTTAAAGGCAGAGCAGTAATGCATCCAGTCCCATTCTGGATATTTTTTTCATGCTTTATTCATTTTTTTTATGGTGGAGAATTCCCTACAGAATCATTTTATAGGGTTAGCTGCTGGCTATTTGGGTCCATCAGCAATATGAAAATCCCACAGCTTGAACCAATGTGCTTCCTCCATATGGGACTTGACATTTGAAGCCTACATGGCTTTTGGGGGATTTATATTACTAGCTGTTACTAGTTAACTTTACAAGTTGTAACTCGTTAACTCACAGTTTCTTCTCAAAAGATAAATGGATTTTTAATTTTTTTTTCTCTTTACAGGCTGTTACCCAACTAGAGCTTTTTGGGGACATGTCCACTCCTCCTGATGTAACCTCTCCCCCAGTGAGTATCCAGGGAAGCTGAACTGTGCATTTTTTTACATGCTATTTTCAACACATTTATTGGGCACATTTACAATTCAGGTCATCAGCCATTTCAGTAGGGAGGATTTCAAAGTAGTTTTTATGTTGCGAGAAAATAAAAGTGAAGCAAATTGAATGTGGAGTCATTGCTTCATGATGATGTGCAAAAATATCTTCAATTTTTATTTTTCTGATATAGGGCTAGGTGTCACATAAGATATAACCTGAGCTGCAGATCTCTTTCCC